CATGTAGTTGCTGTGAAACGCATCTTCAAATACCTTAAAGGCACTCCTAAACTTGGCCTTTGGTATCCAGCTAAATCCGATTTTCAGCTGAACGCTTTCACCAACTCAGACTACGGAGGATGCAAGCTAGATAGGAAGAGTACATCTGGTAGCTGTCAATTCCTAGGAGGTAGACTAGTGAGTTGGACTTCAAAGAAACAGACTTGTGTATCCACATCAACAGCAGAAGCTGAATATGTCGCTGCCGCCAGCTGTTGTTCACAAGTCATATGGATGCAAACTCAACTGCGTGACTATGGCTTCAAAATCTCACAAATTCCCATATTTTGTGACTCAACCAGTGCAATTGCCATTTCTCACAATCCCGTTCACCATTCCATGACAAAGCACATCGACATTCGATATCACTTTATCAAAGACAACATTCAAAAGGGTCATATCGAACTACACTTCATCAACTCCGAAGATCAAATTGTCGATGTCTTCACTAAGGCTCTCGATGAAACGAAGTTTCAATACTTCCTAGGCCGTCTAGGAATGTTAAATCCAGATAACATCCATCCTTAAACTTTTACTTTTTGTTTGTACAAAAGTGTGTTTACTTTCACTCAAAAAGAAAATTCAAAAACATTTGAAAACTGCTTTCTTTTCAAAAAAAAAAATAACCAAAAACATTGAAATAACCAATATTTCCAAAAACATTCAGAAAAACAAATCTTCAAAAATATAATAAAAGACTTGTCGTAATAAGCTTTTATAGAACCTTGTGATTAATCGTCTTTTGACTTAATTTTCAGATGCTTATGCTCGATGAAGATTTTAAGTCATATTGATTCTCAATTGGAGTGAAGGTTCAAATCTCCTACTTTTCATAATGTACATAACTTTATTTCCTTCAATTTTATTTCATTATTGATGATTTTAAAAAGGGACATAAGGTTAGGAGGTTCAGATGAAAACAAAAACCCATGTGAGAATTTGTGCCTCATCAATTTGAATCATCATGGAATTCATTTCTTGTGAGCTTAGGTGTGTCACTATTGCTTATAAGGTATATCCGGTTATACCTTGTCACGGTCTCATTTTTGCTTAGATATCAAAATGACCAGGGACGATACATTCATTTCTTACATACTAGACAAACTGTCTTTTATGCCACTAATCCCTACCTAGATATAAGCCAACCAAAAATGATGTCTTGAGATCCCGTGATCCATCAACAAGAAAAGACGAAACAAGATAAAGAAGAATCAACAAGAAAGCTAAATCATTCACCGAAGAAATACCAAACAAAACAAAAAAAAAAACTCTACATTTGGTATTTTCAAACAAAGTTCAACCAAATGGTTATTTCAAAGCAAACATCAAAAGATCTCGTGATCTGTTTTTAACCATTTTTCACAAAAAGGGATATCTTAATCCCGCAAGATAGATACTCTCAAAAATCCCAATTTTCTCAAATGTAGAAAATTCTCGATGCTAAAACAAAATATCCTTTTACAACAAATAGATATTGATCAACAAAAAGGATACCATCAAAGAAAAAGCTGCAACAACAATGGATTTCCCGGGATACTGTAGCCTTCATCACTGAAGATTCTTAGTTGCAAACTGCACTATGAAAATTACTAAACCCCTCTACATGTATTTCCCGACGGAGAGAGAGAGAGAACTTAAATGGTATGAATGAAGAAACCCGCTGAGTAATGCAAAAACCAGTCTTATGTGATTGATTATCTAATAATGAGACTAAGTGACCTTTCGGGAAAAGCATAGTTGAACACCTCCAATATGAGTGTGAGTCGTCAGAGAGAGATATCACTCGTTTTTAGTGATCATTAACTTGTTCTGTTGCCAGAACAACCAAACACCCAAGTGAAGTGTGAGCTATACCTATGAGCGTTCATCTGAATCGACATGTTAGACCACTTGTCGTCATTAATAATGCTATAAAATCTTAAGAAATTTCTTTAGATACATATATGGCTACCCTTTGATAACCGAACCCGAGACTTTGATTCGGAAACAAATTTCTGAAAATCTTTTACATAAGATATGTTAAACCAAGTCACAAACTTTCAAATCAATTGCTATGGTTTTATATATATCTTATCTATTGACAAATCTTTTATCTCGAATCTTCAAAAGTTAAACTGTCAATATGATTATATCATACCTGTCCTTATTTCAGCAATGATCACATAGGGGGAAATTATTGAAAAATGCTCTTATGTAACCTTGTATGTGACCATAACTGAAATAAGATGAACTGTTTTTATACAATCTAACAAATATTATCAGTTATTTCAGGTTGCATGAATGCGTGATAAAACGGAAAATACGAAAACATGCAAATGACGAAAACACATATGTGTGACTAAACAGTTTCAACAATATATATATATATATATATATATATATATATATATATATATATATATATGTATGTATTATATACATATGTATGTATTATATATGTATATCTGTATTATATATATATAAGTTGTATATATGTTGAATAGTCAAAGATGAAGAAGCCAAAAACCCTTCCCACGTTTTTTTTGCTCCTACTACTCTACATCAACTTGCATGACCAGCCATACTCTATCACTTAAACTCAAGTACACTAGATGAAGATATTTGTTTCAATGCATATATGTATACGTGAGTATGTAGTGTGTGTGTTCATTTTGTAATATTGTAACACTTCTACAAACTACAAACACTACCAAGAACATCACAAATCTTCATCTTCCTCAAGAACAAAGACAAATCCCTGGAGCTAAATGAAGAACACCAAGATCAAACAAGAAGCTAAATGAAGAACACCAAGATCATCAACAATGAAATGAAGAACACCATCAACCATCTTCATCTTCTTCATTGAAACTAAATGTTTTTCATCTTCACCACCTTTGATCATCACGTCATACACCACTAAACACTTTCCTTACATCAAAACACCAAAACACAACCATGAAACAACCCAAAACCTTATGCATCAAGATCAACCACAAAACCCATCACTATTCATCATCATCTTCATAAGAAATTTCACCACCTTTACCACCTTATATCAACCTCCTTCCAACCTCTAAACAACCTTGAAAACATCCTCAAAACACCATAACACCATTACCCTAGCCAAAACATCACAAACAAAACTTACCTTCAAATCACAAAAATCCCGTAATTGACTCTGACACGAACACGCCCCGTGTTAAAAACCAAGGCAAAATCAACAAGCCCCGTGTTGCCCTCTGATTGTCTTCTTCATACTTCTGAACCTCAACACGCCCCATGTTCAGCAAGGCTAAATCAACATGCCCCGTGTCAGCATCAGCATCATGAACACGCCCCGTGTTCAGCAAGGCTAAATCAACACGCCCCGTGTCAGCATCATTCATCAAGAAAACCCTCCAAAACCCTCCTACACGACCCTTGTCACTTGTGCCTTATCTTACACGACCCGTGTGCATGTTTTTACCCAAAAATACCTCAAATACAAATACATAAACCCATGTATGTTGTACCCTTTTGTAAACACTTGTTTTACATAAAATCGAGCTTTACATGAACTTTTTGTTACTTATCCAATGCCGGATTGATCTTTGAACAAATATCGACCAGTCGCTCCAAGAGTCCCAATATCGACCAGTCCATTCAAAGAACAAATATCGACCAGTCGCTCCAAGAGTCCCAATATCGACCAGTCCATTCAAAGAACAAATATCGACCAGTCGATCCATAAGTCCAGTTCAGTCAATTTATTGACGAACCTACTTGATATATATTTATATATTTATATACTTTAGTATAGCTTTATTTCATTTAAATATAGTCATTTATATTATTTATAGCTTTATGTCATTTAAATACAGTCATTTATATTATTTATAGCTTTACGTCATTTAAATATAGTCATTTATATTATTATAGCTTTCAGTCATTTATAGCTTTCATATTTATACTTATTCCGCAATTATTATTCTTTATATATATATATATATATATATATATATATATATATATATATATATATATATATATATATATATATATATATATCTTATATCTTAAACTGATATATCTGTCACACAGTAACTGGTAACCGAGCCTTTTGTTGTGATGATCAGATTGTTATATTTCCAACAAATCGGTATCTGAGCTGTTATATAAAAGGAATAATACCCAACACATTTTATATTATTTTTGCTGAATTTAAAGTTTATGTTTATAAAATAAACGAATCAACTTCTTAAGAAACTATAAAACAAATATATAAACACCATAAAAAAACTAAATTAAACATAGATTAAAATTATAACACAACTTCAAATCAAAATGAAGCTTTTACCTTTGTAAACAATTTCCTTTAAGAACATGAAATAACAAAGCAAAACTTGTCATATTTACAGCAAAATAATACATATAATATAAATGAATCACAAGCAAAAACAAAAATTCCACCACCAGATCCCTGAAACTAATCTAGAATTCAACAATAAATATTTTGTTTATTTTTCTTGGTATTAGATTGAACAAACCATATCTATTTCCATTTGTTTTCTCAAAAAAGAGGTCCAACTGTTGCTTGGCTAGAATTCATGCTCATATCTATAGAAATTTGGTTCCATTGGGCAACCATCTTCATATACATCTAGATACTTGCAGCACCAAAATGGTTGAACAATCCTCTAGAACCTTGAACGACTTAATTGTGTACATGAACACAACTCTACTTCTTGTAAACTCAAACACCCATTTGTATAGACTGGCAGTGTGCATCATCATAAATAAACAAATATCATCAGCAACACTAATAATTGAATGCAAGGTAAATAAGAAGAAAAAATTGAAATATTCGCTGAGAATTGTTTTTCATTGAAAAAAAAATGCAATGTATGTGGTAACCGTATTTAGAGCAAAAAAGAAAGAAGAAAAAATCAATGTATGTGGTGAGATTTCATTTTGAGGGACAAAATAAAAGAAAACCTTACCGGGAAAAATTGGAGACGATGGCGGTGGTCGAAGACGACAGAGTCATTGAAGCCGGCGACGGCTTCGTCAATTGCGGAAGAGAGAACACAAGACGAGTTTTGAAGATAAAATCTTTTGCTGCAGATCGAGAGGTAGGAGAAAATGGGGGTGAGGGTCGATGGAGTAGAAAGGAAAAAAGAAACGGATGAAAAATTATTAGGGCAAAGGCAAGAGCAAGGCGCGTCCTTTTTTTAATTCAGATGTAATATTATATCTGAAACTTTAAGAGGATTTTTGAAAATTAAGATGCTTTTTTTTCATACCCAAACAAACACTCTAAATCTTAATAGTTTAGACATTGCCTCTTAATTTTTCAATTAAGAGGCTAACAAACATCCCCAAAGTCTGCAACAAAACAATTTTCTATGTATCATTTTTTATCGAGAGAATTTTACTAAGAATTCTTAATTAATACCCTTCACTCCAATTCAAAATACCCCTGCAAGAGCATGGTAGCTGCCATAAATATCACCATAGATTGTTACCTGGCTTTTAAGCTGAAGGACATTGCAGAAAGTTTGTAAATTTATTATGTAATTACAAAAAGATGAACTAAAACGTAGTTTTACTCCAAGTTTAGTTGCATATAAAACCATAAAAAAGCATACCCGTACATTGCTTTTCACCATCAAAGTCTCCGTGGCATTTTCACATAACAACGTAACCTGCATGTCATTAAAACATAACACTATAAACTTTCTCCTACAATGGCAAAAAAAAAAAAACAAAAAAACCAAAAAAACCAAAAAAAAAAAACAAAAAACAAAAGAACAAAAGAACAAAAAAAAAACAAAAACAAAAACAAAAAAATATCTAGAAATCATTATAGTTGAAACTCATATAATGTATGAAATAAATAACAATAAATTGCTGGACCTTTGCATTAATCAAGAATTACCATTTATAAAATCAAGTGGAAATTTTTTCAAGAAACATTTGCAACAAATAATAATATGCTCACGAGGCATTTACATTTGAAGTTTCAAACAAAGATATGAAATTGCATCATGATAAACAAATCCTTACATATAAAATCGATCCAATCGAAGCACCAAAATAAAGTAAAACATATGGAACCCATCTCCAATTCTTCATTCACATGCCTCAAATTTAACAAAAATGGTGAGTTCTTCCATGGCATCCGTTTACCAAAATTAGAACCCAATTAGAGGGAGAAATTACACCGATACCTTACTTTTATTCAAAACAGATAAAACCAAGAATGATGAGATTATAATCTATATTGAAACAACGAAGAAAGCCCTAGTTTTTTTGTTACCTTCTTTGTTACCCATTTCTTTCGATTCCTATGAAGATTTATGGATCGGATAACAAAACGCGTTACATATTGGAAATGGTTGTGGGGTTTAACTTTCTTCATGACTTTCACATTAGGGTTTGTAGGGGGCGATTGGAGGCAGGCTTCATAAGAGGGAAAGAGAATTCTAAGAAACAAAACCTAATCAGATAGTAAACAGAAACCAAAAGTACAAAGAAACGTACAAACAAAAAATGACATAATCGAACCAACCTTTATAGGAATGGACGTTGTAAATTGTTGATGAATTAAGATTAGGGTTCCGACTTCCAATTGTTGATGCAAGAGGAGGGAGATGAATGAATTACCAACAGATAAAAATATGGATGAAGTATTATGGTTAATAGAGAACCGGTATATGAATGCAGAGGGTAAATGTTTCTTGGCGGATACAGGAGAGTCCAAAATGAAACGGTGTGATCCGCTTGGAAGGAACTGGCTTTACGAAGACGACGGTACCCATGGATCCACCTCAATGGGTTCCACATCAAACCCGTCCAAATATAGTACTTGGAGACACTTTCACGCGTTGTACGCGCCTTAGGAAAAAAGGGTTTATATATATATATATATATATATATATATATATATATATATATATATATATATATATATATATATATATATATATATATATATGGAAAGTATAACATATATATGAGTTTTAATTAATTATCTTTTTGAAACAGTATAATTACAAAAAAAAAAAAAAAACATATTTAAAATGTTTAATTAAATATTTTCGACATTACCATATATAACATATGATAAATATATTAACGATTAAACCACAATATACAACAACTGTATTACAATAATCAAAAGATGAAGAAAATATAAAAAAGAATTAGTATAACAAACTTACAAATTGAAAGTTTTAATATAATAATATATCTCCAAAAGTGGTTATAAGACCTCAACCCAACACAAAAACCTTTAAGTTAGCATTGTTATAGTAAACTTTCCACTAAATGCTAATTAAACATAATATAAATTATAAAACTTGTGAGTGTTAAATCATAATTAAGAAAAATTTTGTGTTGCATTAGTTAAAAAAGGGGGTTTCAAATGAATGTGGTTTGAGGAAGTTAAAAAAATGGTTTCAAATTCATGAGATTCAAGAAAAGATGCTAGCTTTATAAGTATGTATGATTTTATATAATTATATAAATTTTTTTTCCTACAATACACTGAACTATATAAAATTTAGTGGAATATATTTAAATATTTATTTAAGAATTAGTAAATTTTATTTTTCCTAGCGAAGGGTTTAGTAGTAGCCATCAAACTCATAAGTTTATTAAATGTCAAAACAACATTGCACAATACTATGGTTTTATCCATGGAATGACATCTAAGCTTAATAGCTTATTCAACTTTCTCATTGAATTCTTCATTATAAATGCTCTAACATTCACTATTTTTGTTTATCCATATGGCTCCTCTACCAAATAACAAATTAACTGACCGAGGAAACAAGTAGATCCTTGGTTAATTTTTATTATGGAAAGTACTTTTTCCTTTGATTGTGAATCGATTAGCAAAAACAAGCAAAACTTTGGACATAGCTTTTATACTCTAATTTTAATGTTTAGTGGAGATGTCCATAAACATTTATATTTTTTTAAAACAAATATAAATATTTGTAGGTTTAAGTATCAATAATACTTTATAACATCCTTTTAGATTTTTAAAGACTTTTAAAAATTCAAATATAATAAATAATCCTTTATTTTTGAGTAAATTACACGAATGGTCCCTATGTTTTAGGGTAAATTACATGTTGGGTCCCTAACATATTTTTTTGAACTCGAAAGATTTCTACTGTTTGTTTTTGTTACGCGCTTGGTCCCTGTCTTACCTAAAAAGAATATTTTGCCATTGAATTTTTATTTTATTTAAATAAACACACCCTCAACCTCATCCCTCTCATCTTAGCTAACCTACCCCATCATTCTTTCCTATTTAAATAAGTCTTTTTAGGTAAGGCAGTGACCAAACGCGTAACAAAAACAAACAGTAAAGACCAAGCGCATGACAAAAACAAACAATAGAGACCATCCGAGTTAAAAAAATAAGTTAAGGATCAAATGCACAAATTATCCCAAACCATAGGGACCATTCGTGTAATTTACTCTTTATTTTTATGTTATTGGGGTCTTCAGGTTTTCTAATGAAGATAATATATCTATTTATTTTATAAATCACTTCCATTTTCAGCGTCATAGTGGAAAATTTATCATAGGATGTATCATTTAGGGTTAGTGTGTGTGTGTGTATGTGTGTGTGTATATATATATATATATATATATATATATATAATCCTTATATATTGAGGATAAAATTGCGAAAATGGTCCTTGTGGTTGTCAAAATTATATGGTTTTGGTTCAAAAAAGTTTGGTGATGCATCGGTGGTCCAATTACGGATACCTTGTGTGGTTTTGGTCTCTATGGTTGATAATTTGTTGTGCTTTTGGTCCATACCTCACCTAAAATGAGTACTATACCCCTAAATTAGTTATTTTTATTTATTTTAAATACAAAAAAAACTAAAATAAATCCCATCCCACCCCACCTAATTCATCACTCCTACCAATCTCTCTCAAGAAACACAAACACATCGTCTCCACCAAAAAAAATTCCACTTCACGACCACCCTGACTGTGACAACCCGATATTTCGAGACAATGTAATGTAAAACCAATCAAATTTAGGTCAAAATATAACTTTCCTAAAATCTTATTTGTGTTAAATAAAGTAGTAGGAATCGTATCAAGGTTTTCGTACATATAAAGAACCCTAAAATCCGAGTTATAACGAAGAAGTTATGACCAACCCAAGATTCTCGGCAAAACCGGCAACACCAATTAAACAAAAAACGCGAAGTTTCAATACAATAGTTTTTAGCCTTAAGTATCAAAATGAAAGTTATAGATAACCTCAAACCGTGAGCGTACATAAAAAGAACGTCCAAATCTGACTTCGTATGAGAAAGTTATGATTTTTCCAAGATTCGGGTATAGCAGTAGACAGCTAAAAACTCGAAATAAAGCTCGAGATACTTTTGACCAAAACAACCTAAATAAGAATCTAAGGTCTCAACATTAGTAGCGCAACGGCAAAAAGTCTGACGAAAACGGACACCGATAAAGAAGTTATGGATTTTTAACGGACTTTTCGTGTCCTGGCCCGTTCAAAATAAATAATTAAAAATAATGTCAAAATTTGCCAATGAAGTCTAAACGAGAGTTGTAGATAACATTTTCAGCTATGCGTGCATATAAAAAACGTCGAAAACGGAGCTCGTGTGCGAAAGTTACGGATTTTACAAGTTCGGGGTCCAAAATCTGAGGCTGTCAGGCCCCCACAACGTGGCACAGCTTGGCTGCGACCCGGCAAGTGACTGAGGGCGTCCAATCAACGGAAGGGGATAAGGCTTGCTCCCCACGACATGGTCAACCTTAGCCATGACGTGGCACACCAGAAATTCCCCTATAAATAGAACTCTTGGGGTGCCGGGTTTAGGTGCTCCATTCTTCCATCTCTCGTGTTGAAACTCTGCGGTTAAGCTCCCGAAGCCCACCCGAAGCCCCGGTTTTCACCTTCAAGTCCCAAAGGAAGGTTTGGTGTTCCCGAGATTCCTGAAATTTTCCCCCGCTTTCAACTCTTCCTATCAAAGTTCTGCTCGATTCTTCTCTAGACTATTTCAAATCAACCACTTCAATCATGTGAGTTCATACACCATAACCAATGTTTTAAACTACTTTTAAATGTTTAATGGGGGGGGGAATACAAGTAGAATCATGCTAGTATTATATCAATCACATGTGATTAATAAGTAGAATTACGCTAGTTATTACATCAATCACATGTGATTAATATACAACATTAAAAAGATTTGGCTACTCATTAGCCGTTTTACCAAACAGTTTCCTTCAAATGATTTTTATAAACATTTTATATGTTTTAAACTACTTAATACACTGTACATCTTACTCGGTACATTACCTTTCAAACTTATTTACAACTGTGTTTCAATCAAATGTTTCCTTATACTCAAAACTGTTTTATCATACTTATGCCTTCAAATTGTTTTATAGATCGACATCAAGTCGATCTTTTCTTAAAATAATATTTATGTTTCAAATGTCTTACAAAATTTATTTATGCTTTTATATTATAAATTGCATGCCTCTATATGTATAGTTATATAAGAAATGTTTAAAAGACTTAGGAAGGCTATCCACCCTATTTCCTTTTCGCGCCTTGAGATGTGGTCTGGTGGGATATTGGGTATTCGTCCGAAAGTCGTTTAAATATTAGTTATATATCATGTGTACATATATAGTCATAAAAGGTCTTTCCAGTTCATCCCATGCCCTTAGTTAGTAAGGGTATACATCCATGACCATACGTACCAGTTAGACTGCTAGTAAACTACCATATGGGTAGTTTAGGAAGATACTAGAACCATTACTAGAACGCGATATCATACAATGAGTCAGTTCATTCATCAGTCAATACTTTCTAGAACATTACATATACAACTATACTAGGATGAGAACATATACAATTATACTAGGACGAGAACATATACAACTTTACTAGGAAGAGAACATATACAACTATACTAGAACAAGAAACATTACCCTTACATTAATACGTTAACAACTGTGATCCACTGTATCGGAGCATGCCTTAAATGTCATGGCCTGAGTTGTAGCCAGAATTCTCTTGGAGGGAGAGCGTTGAGTTTGCGTATAGATCTATATTGGATTGACAATCCTACACCTTGCTGCTAGCTACAGTCGGACCTGCAGGTCTGCGGGTGCCAAACGTCATTCCGTTATTACGACCGTTCTTTATGTCGTTGT